TTTACAAGTAGAACAATTTTTTCAACGAGAGACCACTGATATGGGCTCAACGTAGGAAATGATTATCTATAGCATATGTGACAAGGGCTTTTTGCTGTTCCAACATGTAGTATGTAGAATTCCAGCGAATAGGAACATCTTGACTTAATTTGTGTTTCTGCAAACCTAACTTTTCTTGCAAATCTTCCAATTTGCTTACAGCCACAGCAGAATAATTAAAATGTGTGACAATATTTCTATTAACTGTGATTATAGTTTTCACATTTTGTTTAAAAAATATGCATTCGTTTAGTATCAACTGCAGTGTATGTATATAGCATGATAATGCTTCTAAGCTGCAATTCATAAATCCAGCTACCATATTTGCTGCAGAATCTCTCAGTACTAAGAATATTTTATCACTTGTCAACTTCGACTGTTAAAGAGCAATTTTTAACTGTTTACTGATTCGTGTAGCTGTGTGGGAACCTTCAAAGGAAACAATTTGCAAAACAGCTGTTTCCTGCTGAAAATCATCCTTCAACCAGTGGGTTTTTGCATTTAAAAAAGGAGAATTGTTTGTAGTTGCTGTCCAAATATCATCGGTTAAAGAATTATATTTTGTTTCTGTTAAACACAGAAACACTTTAGCTTTTTAAACAATGTCGAAGTTTCCATGCGTCAACAATTAAGTGTTGAGATTTATTTTAGACACTTTCCCAAACAAAGGAAGATATTGTTGATTTTGAGAGGATCGTCTCTTGTTTACCTGACCCGAGGGAGATGGAAATACCAGGAGGAGAAAAATGGGTTTTTTCTACATTATAATTGTGAGAACCGAGGAAGTTAGTTGTCCCCACTTACCGGCGGCTCTGTCAGAGAATGGCTTTATAGGAGGGCAAAATGAAATGAGTGGGGAGGCCAATGAGTAAGTTGACAGGTTCCCAAATATATACATAGGTTGAACAAGAATAACACATTTAATAAACAACTATAAAATTGTACTTATCAAAGGCTAAGGTGATCTACAAAAATCCTATTCTACGTCGCGACAATGATTTGTCTTTCATATGAAACATCTAATATCTATTCTCTAAGTTAAATTAAGATACGAGAGAGAGATCTCTAGGAGAGAGATTTCTCAGAGAGAGACTTCGCAGAGAGAGAGTATACAAATAGATATCCAAAAAAAATACCTCTAAGTTCTCGATCCGTAATATGGGTCGTTGGTGAAAACGTTCCTGGATCGTCACTGCAGTATGGCGGTATTAATCAGTAGATGTGGCAGTCGATGTCCGCCTTGTGAATGTCCCTCTTGTGAATGTCCGCCCTGTGGACTGCGTCCAAGCCCTCTTTATACTATTTTTGAGGGGGTGAGAACTATGACATCATTAATGAATTATACGCACACCTGTTCGTGTGTTGATGTCTAGATCTAGCTTGTACTGACAACCGACACAGAGAAGTTTGTTTAATTTATTGATGTCAGTGTTTAGAAGATATGATTTTATAATATAAATTTTTATACGTTTGACGGCTCCCATCCATAAATAAACATTCATCTGACAATAATTTCTTTAACATGGTCAACTATCTAGATTTTGTTTATATCAAACGTCGCGTTTGACTATGAACGAGGCGATTTATTGCTGTTACCATGTGTCACGTGCAACCAAAGAGGTGTTGAGAAACATATCTTATTCCCGTCTTGTTGATATTAACGTCTATAGAATTACCTTTAAACAAATGGAGGAGATTACTTTTATTGATATAATAACGATTTTTTTCCAGGAGATCGTCTCGGTCATTGACCGCAGAAGTCCCTCTTTTTCCCTTTTTACCTAATCACGAAGTTTATTAGAAAGGTGATACTGTTCTAAAACAAAAGGGTTTTGGACCGTCATATAATTAACTGTATAATTAACTCCAGGATATCACACTATTAATGCAATAAATTATTAAACTAATCGGCCGATTAATCGGTATCGGTCGATAATGTATGGCCGATTAATCGGTAATCGGTAATCGGCCATTTTGCTTATCGGTGCATCTTTATTAATTATTAACTTGAACGCTGTAATTAATAAACATTTAGAAATAATGTTAATAATACGAGAAACACAATCGCTAAAATGATAATAATAGATAAATACTTTGTGGTTTTTTTTATTTGTGGTTTTAGGCCCCTTACCGCTCAGAGAGCACAAAGAGGCCAAGAAAGTTATTTTAAAAAAGTACTAATTTGTTAGAGTCTCTAAATGGGTATTTGAAGACTATTTATTTAGTGTTTGCAAGTTTTAAAATGTTCAAACAAAGATTACGCAAATTAGGAAGGAAGGTTTAGTTTATACGGTTTTGTGTTAGTAAAGTGGAAAAAGTGCTGGCCGCGAACCGAAAAACCGGGAAGGGCGGCCAGCACGAAAAGGTTAAGTTGGCCCGTAGCATGCAGCACACTGCTCAAAGCAATTTTTAGTTATTGCGAATATTTCTTCATCTGCCACGAGCTCGCTTAGTGGAACAGGCCAGGCCATAGCACGCGCGTGAAGGAAGGAAATGAGCCTCCTCCGACAGCGATCAAATAGGCTACATTCGAAAATAATATGAAATATTGTGTCGGGAACCAACATGCCACAATTACAGTTTACA